CCCGCGGGGTCGGAGGTCGCGGGCTGCACCAACGAGACGCTGCGGGCCGGCCGACCCGAGCGGGGGCAACCGGCAGGCAGCCTAGAAGGTCCCTTTGGAGGACTTTGCAGTCGGGGGCAGAGAGCATGCGCAGACGCCAGAGGGCGCTCGGGGCCGGTGGCTGGGAATCCTGAGGGGCGTGGCCTGTCTTGAGAGGGGCCCGGCGCGGGGTGGGGCGGGGAGCAGAGCTGTCAGCAATCTCTCTAGCAGAAGAGAATCACAAGAGATAGCCGAGCGGATCGGAGGACTGAAGCGGGACAGGATTCGGAATCCAGGAGGGAAAGTAGCGAGGGACACTGGGGACAGAGGGGAGGAGCTGGAGAGGCCCGCAGAGGGGGCGGGGCTGAAGCCGGGGGCGGGCCGACAGACTCGACCTTTTGGGCTTGGCGGTGGCGCAGCGCGTCGCCAAGTCCGGGGATACCTTCGCCCTTCCCGCCCTGAGACCCACGAACGCTTTCCTCAGTCTGCAGCACCCAGTTCGGGGCCACTGGGGGCGTGGCCCGACGGCGGGTCTCACCAGAACAGCCCGGGTGCTTGCGCTTTGCCAGGCTGAGACCTCACTCCTAAACCAGCAGCTAGACAGGGACCCCAAGTGAACTCGGTAAGAACTCGGGTGGCCCGCAAAGTCCTAGGAAAACTTTGGGGCTCTGCCGAGAGGCCACTTGATGGAAACGTACACTTCCCTCCCTTTGCCCTCTGATTCAGAGATGCCTTCCCACTCTACTGCTCGCTAGTGCCTAGGACCTCTGGGGCTCATCTTTCCAAGAATGGGTGTTGTTTGGGGAGGTTGAACCCCTGAGTTAGGTTGCATCTGGGGCGAGAGGCGGGAGCCAGTGTTTGACCCGATATTATCTGAAAGGAGAGAAGGGGAACTATGGGAGGAAACCAGCGTGTTAGTAAGATGGGGTCCAATGGTAGCTGGGGGTGAATCAGGTTGCTCAGAGGTGAGGGACAGGAAGGGTGACGGGTAGAAGTCTGATTTCTGAGTTATTTTTGTGCCAGAGAGTTCCATGCAAACTAGAACTAATCCGGAAGAGGGTACAAGCCCCATTCTAGGGCCCCAGAGACCCCCTCTCCCCCTTGTTTTGTGGAGCTGAAACAGTGCTGCTAAGGGGTGTGGCTGTTCCTACCCCTGAGTGTGGACGTCCATCCTGGCCACCTTCCACAGGAAACCTGCCCTGAGGGACTAACAGGAAGGAAACAGGTGGGTGTGGAGCCAGGAAGGAGGGAAGGGTGGCACTGAATATTTGAAGGGGGACTGGGGGTGTGCATGCGGTTGTGTGGCGCTCTGATGGTTATACACGGAACCTCAGGTCTCCCCAAAGCCTAGTGATTCACTGTTGGCTCTCCTGAGCCCAGCTGCTGCCCCGAGGTAGGGGACCTCCTAAAACTCCCCAAACTTTGTAGTTTGCTCATTGGTCAATGGTTTGTTTGATTGGTTTTTCAACTGTAAAAGCATAGAAGAAACTGCTTCAATGGACGGCAAGAATGGACGTATTATATAAAGTTCTAGAATAGTCGCGGACACTGAATAAACTTGTAAATGTTTGCTCCAGCTGTCACCATTCCACACAACCCAACCCTTCACCCAGAATACAGGTGCATGAATCCTATTCTCTCTGGTTACATTCCCACTCACTAGCTTGCGACCTCATCCAGAGCGGAGTCCATCTTTTCTCTGCATCAGTAGTGAGTCCCACCCGAAGACACCGTGATCCCATTTCAACTGTTCCTAAAGAGGTGCACTGGGACCAGTCATTAAAATTGCTGCTATAAAGTGGGGTGTGGTGGTGCATGCTTTGGATCTCTGCACTTTGGAGGTTGAGGCAGGAGGATCAGGAGTTCAAGGCCAGTCTTGGCTCTGTGAGACCCTGTTTCATGCTGCTATAAGGACAGGTGGTATAGCTTGGTGGAAGAGGGCTTGTCTGGTTTGTGAGGGGCTATGGGTTTGGTCAGAGAGAATGAATTTTCTTGTACCCTTGAGGCATTTTAGACTAGATGAGACACTGGTACTAATTTGGGGCACTGACTATACTTCCTTTGAGAATTCAGGAAAGGAGAACTGGTACAGGCCAGAGAAGCTGAGGAGGATTCCTGGCAAGGAGGCCTTCAGCCAGGCTCCAGAAGAGCAGCCTGAGTAAGGTATAGTGACGAGATGGGTGTGTGGTGGGGTGACTGAGGAACAGCCTGAGTAGGGTGTAGTGACGAGATGGTATGTGTGGTGGGGTGACTGAGGAACCTTGGGAAGACTGGCAAGATGAGCAGGAGAACTCCAGCCTGCCAAGAGGCTCATGGGAGAGCAGAATGGTTCCTTCCATGGTTGCTTTCTCTTCTACACCACCCAGCTTTGTAATACCCAAGAATCTGAACTTCACAAACTCAGGGGCTAAAGACCTGACTTTGCCACTTATCAGCTGTTTGACCTTGGAGGTGGCGCTTGTGAAGCACTTGGCATTGCCTGGCATGCTGGGAAGGCTTACTGAATGAGCTGATCTTCTGTCTTTTCCAGACAGACGGTCACCAGTGTCAGTTCAGAATTGACTGGTCCCTCCAGCAGGACAGTTCTATGTTCAGAGAGCCGGACAGTGACGCAGGCCAGCAGCCAGCAGAGGGCGATGAGGACAACTCTGTTCAGGTAGGAGTCCCACTCTTCCTGAGCCCACTGTGCTCTCATCCTCTGGCCGTCATTCCCCGCCTACCAACCAGGAGACGTTTGCATTTTTCTTTCCGTTAAAACAAAACCAAACTTTTATTAGCCAGGTGTGGTGGGCACACCTTTAGTCTTAGCACTCAGGAGAACTCAGGAGGCAGACGCAGGCAGATCTCTGTGAGTACAAGGCCAGCCTGGTCTATGTATGAGTATCAAGTTCCAGGCCACCCGAAGTTTGTTAAATATTTACTCAGTGTGTGTGTGTTGTGTACCACATCACGTGTGGAGTCAGAGGACCTGCGGGAGTCAGCTCTCATGGTCTTCCACCATGAGGATCCAGAGAATCAAACCCAGGCTTGGTGTTAAGTGCCTTTACGTGCTGAACCATTTTGCTATCCCCTGTCCTCTGTCCCCCACTTTGAGGTAAGACCTTGTAATGTAACCCTTGAACTTTGTCCTCCTACCTCAGCCTCCCAGTGGTGGGGCTGCACCCCCCCCCCCAGCTTTGCCTAACTCTCTGTAGACCTGTTCTCTTTTCAGGACTTAGGGGTTGAAATTCAATCCTGCAAACATAATAGCACCTCTCCTGAGTCCACCTGAGCTGTCAGAGCCTGGCTCCAGGAGTGTGTGAATGTGGGGTTCCAGTATATGGAGTGGTGTTTGGGGACTCCTTCCAGGCAGGTCTCAGATCAGGAGTGGACCTACTGTTCACTCTGTAGACCAGGCTTGAAGTTAGTGAGATCCGCCTGCCTCTGCCTCCTGACTGCTGGGACTAAAGACGTGCGCCACCGTGCCCGACAGATCTCCTGTTCTTAGTGACGGGAAGGAGGGGGTTTCCTTCAAGTGGAGAGGAATGTTGGGAGTTGCTGTAGATGGGAGGGCAGGCAATGAGGGGAAGGGAAGACCCAGCCCCCTTTTCCTCCTGTGCCTCCTCAGGCTCCTCCAGGATCAAGCTTGGGCCCACCTTGCCTGGATACCAACCAAGCCTCAAGCTGGCCTGGATTTCGGACCCTGCTGCAGCAGTTTCCTCCACAGGACAGTGATGTGGGTCGCCCCTCCTTTGCTCCCTCTCCACACCTTGTAACTTACTGTGTAGTAAGAGTCTTGGTCTAGAATTCAAGACGTATGACTAAAAGGCTCAGTTTTGCCCGTAGCTGGAGGAAGCAACTCCCTTTAGCTTGAGTTTCCACAGCTAATGACAGACAGGTGCAGGAATACATGTCCTGCGCATCACAAGGCTTAGCTTCAGAGCAAATGGGAAAATGGACATGAACGGTATCTGAAATCAAGAATGGGATGCACAAATGTAGAAATATGGTTGTTCAGTATTTATTGAGGGCCCTAGCATGTGCAATCTAAAGACTCACAATTCACTAGGAGAGGCAAGACAGTCTATGGAGCAGAGAGAACAGATGTGAAAGTGATTCTGAGACCTAGCTCAATGGGAACAAGAGCCACACTATCTGGTGATGGTGCTGAGTGCTATCCGGTGCAGTCCCGAGTGACGGCCCTCTCCGTGGCAGCAGAGTGAACTCTCTTTCCTTCTTGTCAAGCACATGCGCCATTCCCTCCCAAGGTTCTGCCTCTCTCCAAGCCAGTGTCAACCTTAGAGAACATGTCAATCCTAGCAGTGTTCTAAGGTCTGGGTGCATGTGGGCCTTTCCTTTAGGAGCGCTACTGTCTGGCCCTGGGGGAGGAGGAACTGACCCAACTGCGGCTCTTCTGTGCCCAGCGGAAGCAGAAATCCATGGGACAGGGGGTGGCCCGCTTGTTACCTCCCAAGCTTGAAGGGTACACCTGTGAGAAGGTAGGGAGCATGTCTGTTCCTCCTCCATCCCCGAGCCTTTCCCTTCCTCCTCTCTTTGCTCTGCAGAAAGGGTTCGGGGGAGGATAGCGGAAAATATTTTCAGGATTGGTGATTTGGTAAACGTTAGGGAAAAGAGGAAGCCAGGTTTGGGGAGTTGGCCTCTGCGGTGGAGATGGGCCTGCAGCATATGAACAGTTGGAATGGGGGTTGGGGAATGTGATTGAAGAGCCATGAGCGAAGCTAAGAAGGTTCAGGTTAAGAGCCCAGGGCCTCTGCTTTGGCAGTGCAAGAAGCTGCTGAATCCAGGAGAGTATGGAGTGTTTGCGGCCAGGGCTGGTGAGCAGTGCTGCTGGCACAGACCCTGTTTTACTTGCCAGGCCTGTGGTCAGGCCCTGATAAACCTCATCTACTTTTACCACGATGGGCATCTCTACTGTGGCCGCCATCATGCAGAGCTGCTGCGACCTCGCTGTCCTGCTTGTGACCAGGTAGAGCACCAAGGGGAGAGGGACACTGGGAGAATTCTTCCCCATGCCAGCAGTGCAGGAGCAGCTGTCATCTTCCTAGCTGGAGGGTCTTCTAGTACAAGTGGAGAACAGGGGGAGAGGACAAGGAACTAGCCAGGGCCACTCAAGAGCTCTGTGCACGTGGGACCTTTACCTCTGCTCCCCCAGTGCAAACAGGGGTCTGTAAATTCTCTTGGACTCAGAACATTTCTGGATTCCTGAATCATCACTATGCCAGATGCTCAGTGCTGAGCTTGACCATGCTAGAAAGACCCTAAGATCAACATGAAAGACAGTACTGAGCCTTGGGAGTTAGGAAAGTTAGGAAAGCAACTTATGGCTATGCCACCTGCTACATGGAGGATCTGGCCAAAGCCAGTCACCCTCCCAGAATCCAAGAATTACAAAGAACTCCAAATCGGAATGCCTGTGGGCAATTTTTTTTTTTGAGAGTTAATGAGTATAAGGTGTGGTTACTGGATGGATGGATGGATGGATGGATGGGTGAATGAATGAACAATCAATCGTTTTCCTCAACCTCTCCCAGCTGATCTTCTCTCAGCGCTGTACCGAGGCCGAAGGACAGCGCTGGCACGAGAACCACTTCTGCTGCCAAGACTGCGCCGGGCCTCTGGGTGCAGGACGTTATGCCCTGCCTGGGGGCAGCCCCTGCTGCCCCAGCTGCTTCGTGAGCCGCTACCGGAGTGCAGATTCTAGCTCAGTAGAGGCACTGGAAGGGCTAGCGTCCTTTGGTAAAGGAGGGGACGGGGCGATCTAAAGGGGGAGGGGGCGGCGGCTTAGGCTGATCATAGAAGCGGGGAATCTCCCGGGCCAGAACCCCTTGTCCCATTCCCCATGCTGTCCTCCCACCGCAACCCCCAGACGCGAGCTTTGGGGCCCGAAGCTCTCACCGCGCGTCCCTGGCCTGCGCGCTCCGAAGGCCTCCTGAACCCTCCCGGCGGGGCTGCGGCGCCAAACTCGCTCCCAGTCTGGGGACGCGGTCGCCCACTGGTGGACGGAGGCGGGGGCCCTTGGGGTAGACTGGCGGCAGCGGCGGCGCGCACGGCACAAGCCTGGGGCGGGGCGGGAGGCTGCACGCAAGCCTGGCCCGCCTCTTGCACAAAGATTTGGGGACTCTGAGATGGGCATTTCTAACAGGGGAAACAGAATCCGATCCAAGCGTCGGCTGGAACGGTGCCTCCTCGGATGACAAGATCACCTCGCAAGTTACACTTCCCTCTACAGTCGCCAGCTCCACTCTGGAAACCCTGAGTGGGGCGTCCAAAGAGCAGGGCCGAGAGCGCCCAAAGACCCCTGGAAACGCCAAAGAGCACATCCCCTGCCCCACCTGCTCCTCTTCCTCTGAGTCGGAACCCGAAGGCTTTTTCTTGGGCCAGCGCCTTCCAGGTCCCTGGAAGACCCCCAAAAACCTCCAGACAGATGACAGAGACATCTCCAGGAAGCACTGCACCATTTGTTAGTGGGGCGGCCCAGAGATCAGAGTAGTGAGATGGGGAAACCTATGAAACAGGATAACAAGACTCTGTGTAAAAAACCCGAGACTGAAGGCAATCAGACACGCGGGACAGTCCCATCCACATTGCACGTTCTCTAATCTGTATAAAAGTTTCTTGGGGAAACACCACTGCCCAGAACTTCCTGAGTGGAGCTAGCCCCTATCCCCACCCACCGTCAGCACCTTGCTTAAATTAACGGAATGGTGGCGCTACACAGGTAACAGGCTCCAGGCACCGGGAGGTGGGGCAGCAAGCACCTGTTCCACCTCCGACCTGGGTTCCAAACTCGTGGAAGCAGCCGGGGGCGGGTCTTCTTGCGTCTCACTACCGGCCGGCGGAAGTGCGGAGTCGGAAGTTGCGCGATCTGCCTGCGCCGACTCTGAACCGCGCGCAAGCACGGTGGAGGTGCTTGGTGCTGTTATGGCTTCTAGTGGGATGGCAGTGAGCGCCTCCGGCTCGGCCAACGAGGCCCCCGAGGTTCCAGACAACGTGGGAGACTGGCTCCGCGGCGTCTATCGCTTCGCCACCGATCGGAACGATTTCCGGAGGTAACCGAGGCTGGCCCCTCTCTGATCCTCATAAACTTGTATTTCCCTTCCTAGTGAGGCTGGCAATCCTAGTTGGTTTTTTTTTTTTTGTTGTTTGTTTGTTTGTTTTTTTAACCACATTGACAACATAGTGGTTTCGTGGTAACTTTCTGTTTTGTTGAGGCCGTAGGCTTGTAGAATGCATTGATGTTAAAAAAATATCTGTCACGTGGTTCTCACGGTACCTAGAATGTCGACCTGGGCTGTAGCGATGGTTCAGCGGGTGGAAGCGTTTGCCGCCAAGCTTGAGGACTTGAGTTCGATCCCTGGTACCCGCAAGGTGGAGGGAGATAACCAACTCCTGCGGTTGTACTCTGATCTCCATACTTGCACTGTGTCAACATGCAGTATCACGCACACACAATTTAATGAATGTGTTATTTTTAAAAAATCACCTTGACCTAAGGCAGGGAAGAGATGCCAACGCATAAATAGGAATTTTAGCCTGTTACGTTAGAGTGTTGCGTTGGCCTTTGCTTGTGTTAGGAATAGATGTAAACTCCAAATTCTCACGTTCATATTGGGGGACGTACCACTATACCAAGTGTCGATCAACACCTCCAGAAGGTGGTGCTGATGTAAACTTCCCATGGTATTAGCTTCATCAAACTCAGTGACCTCATGGTTAATGAAATATATTTTCTACTCAGGAACTTGATCCTCAATTTGGGACTCTTTGCTGCGGGAGTTTGGCTGGCCAGGAACTTGAGTGACATTGATTTGATGGCACCTCAGCCAGGGCTGTAGCCAAGTAAGCACTTAATTTTCTGTCTCTGCCTATTCCAGTTCTGAAAGACAGCAATTCTGTCGAGCTATTCACAGCAAGTAGGAGAAAGACTTGGTGTAAATACTCACTCTTGGATTTCTAGGTGAAAGCAGTTTTTTTTTAAAAAAAATTTCTAATACCACCTGTTATCTGGTTGCAGAGAATGGAATTCCTGTGTACTCAAACTTCCCAAGACAGCCTACTGTCTATGACCACCACAAGATACTACCCCAATGGCAGCTGAACCTCCACCCCCTGGGCAGCCCCCTGCTTCAGCTCAAATGTTGCCTCTGCACAGCTGTGTGTGCATTCCTACATTTCTGCAGAGGGTGATCTTTGCCCTTGTCCTGAGGAGTAGTAATGGTTCTTGAAAACAGATTTCAAATAAAGCCTGCACACAAAGACGTTTTATTCTTTTAATAATAAACTTCTTTCAAAACCACGGTGTAAAAAGTCAGTTTACAAAAACCAAAAAGCCATGATTTGTGTTTCACACTCGAGATAGCAATGAGCCCCAAACATGGATTGTAATGAAGATGTTTGTCTCATTTAAAAAAGAGAATAGAAAAAAGACATTGAGAGGGAACCACCTACTCCACAGTGATAAAGATATGCTACACAGCTGATTCTTGAGGAGTTACTGCTGGTGAGCACGCCTGGGGAAGAGGCCATTTGGTGTTGTTTGGCATTTAGTTCACCAGGTGGGTTTTCCAGGCACCAGGGAGGCACTGTTGTTGGGTTAGAGTGAGATTTGGTGGCAGAAGAGAGCACTGGTTGTGGGTGGAGTCAGCTTGTTAGTGGGCACAAGGAAGCAACTTCCTACCCCCAGACTCGTGTTAGTGCCACTGTCTATGTCTGTGGGGCACATGAGTCAGCGTGGAGAGACTCCTGTGGCTGGGACAAGATGGTGCTAGAAAGAGTCTCATTTAGTCAATTTACTGGGCATTAAAAAAAAAATACTGCTTTTTTGTGCAAAGACTCCTTTGGAACTGGTCTTGGATTACAGGGCACGAATGAGAAGGGCCTGTGTAATTGGCCAAGCTGCATGACGACAGTTACTGCTAGCTGCTTTCCTAGATCTGTGGATAGACACCGTTTCAGTCAGTTCTCTGGGGCCTAGGTGCAAAGCTCACTGCAGAAACTCATGATGTGACTTCCAAACACCCACCGAAAGAAGGCAGGGGGAGGGGGGCTTTCTTTTTTTTTTTTTCCTTTTCTTTCTTTTTTTTTTTTTTTGGAGGCAGGATATCTGTAGCCTAGACTGGCCTCAAACCTCAAACTTAACTACACAGTTGAAGATGGCCTTGAACTCATCTTGTTGCCTCCACCAACTGTTGGAGTCCAAGTGTGCTATACCATGCCTGGTTTTACATGGTGCTGGGATCAAACTCTGAGCCTCAGGCTTGCTAGGCAAGCACCCCACTAACAGCCATATATGATATGGGGTGGGGATTACCATCTTGTGAATGAAGAACCTGTGTGATGTGATGATGGCTAGCAGAAACTATGAGTAAATTCAGGCCTAGAATTGGCTTAACATGAATCAAGACCCTAGAATTTATTCTGAGTCTCAGATACTCTGAAGTCTGTTTTAGAAATTATTAAGAGACTGGGCTCCATGGAACACACTTAATCCCAGAGGCATGTGGATCTCTGAAGCCAGCCTAGTCTAAAGTTCCAGGCTAGCCAGGGCTACACAGTGAGACCAGGCCTTGGAAAAGAAAGGGGGGGGGGGCAGGGTCATGACTGTGAATACATGGATAAGGCTTGGGTTTGAAGCCATTACTTCCAAAGGCCCATAAAGTGACTAGGAAGCAGCTTTGTAAGCTGTATTATAGATGCAGAACCCCACATGACTGCAGCTAAGCTAGGAAATAGCAGCCTGGTTTTGTTTTGTTTTTTGTTTTGAAGAATGAAACCTTAAAGTGTGCTATATGATCCTATAGCTGAGTAGTTCTAGTTAGTTAAAAAAAAAATTATATGTTGAAAACCAGAGTCTAGATAGAATTAAGACATAGCTTTTAAAAATATAGTTTTTTTTTCATTCCAAATTTAAGATATAATTTCAAGTAACTTTACTGTTGCTTTTGGAAGTCATAATGCTGGTTTGGCAGTTTTCCTTTAAACTGGTTTAGGTGACCCGGAACCCATTGTCTCAAGCATGCTAGCTAAGTGCTGTAGCACGAGCTATTTCGTCAGCAGCTGTTGTATTTTAAAGGAAACACGCCGGCATAAGTATGGACAGAGTTGCTTGCCCACAGCTGCTAAGCCATGTGTGAGTTGACAAGTCAACAGCGGCTAAAGTGCAGACAGGAATGTGGAAGAGATGACGTTCACAACCCTGAGAAAGGTGCTTTAGCGCTGACAAAAAGAACCACCCAAGAGACCCACTCTTAGCTGGTAAAAATCAAGTGACCCTGGAAAATTTCACTCCAAAGATACACTCTTTACCTAATTAGTCCCAATTTGGAACTGGGCTGAGAGACCCAGTACCAAGTGCGCTTTGAATGGTGAGCCTGTCAACACCTTTGGGGAAGTCTCACGAGCTCAGCGGAAACCCTTCGGCTGGAATGAAAGACAGGCTGTGAACAGCCCAAGTCTTGCTAACCTTCCACAGTCACTGAGCACCTCCCCAGCTGCATGTGCGCAGTGGTGGTGTCAGGGACGTCATTTTTGCATCACTCACTGCACATTACACAGTGTACTGGTTTGTCATACAATCTAAAGGGTCACGTGTGGGGGGGTTGTTTCCTACACTGCTTCCTGTTGGTTTGTGCAGAAGGACTCCAGAATTGATGAAGATTCCACCGCCATTGATTGCCTAACATCTGATCATTTGGCTCTCCCAACTACCTGGAAACCCTTCCACACATAAGCTGCAACCCCAGATAGAGATGTGGTACACATTCAGGAAGGGGTCACCTTCCAGAAAAGGTCAGCATTAATGTTCAGCATATACAAGAGGCAATGAACAACAGTAGTGTATGTTGGCTGTCTTGAAAGAGCTATCTGATGGATGATTATAAATACAATTATGGACAAAGGAACTCAAGAACTTGCTGGTAAGGACAATCTGCATTCATACACAAGAGATAAGAATGTTCTATAAAATCTGATAGCACATATCTTTTAAACACTACAGATCCATCTGCCACTTGACATAACAAAAAGGAACCCTTCCCCTTAACTTTTCAATCTCATGCAAACTGTAATTAAGAACAAGGCACCAAATTTTATGAATTGTATAAAATTAGTTCACAAAGCTTTATCAGTAAAACAAATTTCAGATCTCCTTTGCTTCCTCCCATCCCCCACCCCCAAGTTTTCATTCTGCACTACTATCGACTCTCAGCATACTCTGGAGCACTGCCAGCCAGCCCACCTCATTGGTTCGTCCCCTGAATGTGGATGGAGCTGAAGGCATAACCAGAACAAGGGACTCACACAATCATGGACTCCAGAAGCCTTGCCACTGTGAACAAAAATAAACTCTGCTATCGAGTCCATAGGACACATGAACACTTCTACAGTTTACAACTTTATTCATGGCATTTTTAGAGACATCTAGAAGTTCTTTACCATGTGGCACTGCCCTCCCATGTCAGCCAGAGAGGCTGGTTAAAGCTGGCAAGCGCTCTGCCTGCCATCTGATGAGAGCTGCAGTTCCTGGCTGCCACGGGTATCCCTGCTACTTCTGCACTAGCATGGGTGCTGCTCTTAGAGGCAACCACAAGCATGAGGACCAGGCTAGACTGAGGTAAGAAATCATTTTTGAGGGCTGGGGTGTATTCATCTTGGCTGGCTACAGTGGTAAGTAAACACACCAGCCGATTACAAAGGGTTCAGAGAGAGAGATTGCTGCTGGCAGAGCAGCACCTGGCATTTGGCCTGGAGCCAGCTAGTCAAGGTCAATCTGTTCTCTTTAGACTGTTTAGTGTGATGCCAACTGACACAACCCTCTTAGGCGCTGCAGACAGCAGAGGGAGGACAGGACAGCACGGCACAGCACAGCAGCCCAGACAGTGCACAGTGCTTCTACAACAGAGATTCAGGCCCCTGCTCCTGCTGCCTGAAGTGCTGTCTGTGGCTGCCGTGGCACCTTCATGAGGGTGGCTCAGTGGAGACAGCTAGTTTTAGTTAGAACTCATTTTGACTTATGTTAATCTCATATGTGGGTGTTCAGGTCGGCTAAACATTTATAAAGTCCCCATTCGGCTTACCAATCTTGCTGATAGTTGATACAAAACTCTTTTTTTTTTTTTAATTGAATTAGAACCTTTTAATTTTCCTTTAAGTGTTTATATTGATTGTTTTCCCCTCTGAACAGACAGATCTGTATTCTCTGCCTGCAAGTTCTCTTTCTAGAATAAACAACACAGGGTTTAAGATGAGGTGCAATCCAGTCTTGTTTCCTTTTTTACTCCCAAAAGTTTGTTATTTTTGTTTTTAAGACAAGGTCTCACAATGTAGCCTCAAACTCATAATCCTCCTGCCTCACCCAAGCAAGTGCCATCCTTCCAGGGGTGTACCAGCACACTGAGCTTTGTTTTTGAATAGGCTTTGCTACCATGGTAACAAATCACCATCATGCACCTTGGTAATGTGGACCTCAGGGTACAGCTTTATATCAGAACCTCAGGCAGCGTGGATAATCGGGACACTTTAAAACAGTGTCCTGGAGAGAAGGAGGTTGTGCAAAGCTCACAAAAAAGCCTGCAATAGACAGTAAAAACCAAACAGCACAAAAATGCCATACATGATCGCTTCCAAATAAAAGCTAATACAGAAACCTCACAGTGTTGTAAAAAAGCAAGTTTAAATCTAGCCACTCATCCCTGTCAGGGAGCTGTTTTCTGTCTGATTTCTTCCATGTCTCAGCGATGTCTGGCAGGCCTACGAGAGAGTTCATCTCCAATGAGGGCAGCAGTAAATACTACAGGTGTGCCCGGGAAACAGAACAGTGCCTCCTTTAGCCTCACTGTCTCTGTTCCCCACCCCTTCAACTCCCTTTAAGTGACAACTGTACTACATTAACACAAGCTACTTATTCACAGGAGAGGCTGTGGGCACCACACAGGCCACTGCAGAGAGAATGGGAGTTTACTGTGCTTCTGTCTGGGCATTTGAACTCCACTTAGAAATGGAGCAAATTTTAAAGATGTGTTTTTACTAATAGCAGAGTAAAAGACAGGAGTCTCTCTGTACTTCATGGGCTGAGGGCAGGTGAGAATGGGTAGCAGAGATGAAGGGCCACAACTGGACACACGGTCAGTTCCTAGGAAAGCAAAAGCTCCAAGCCTTGTGAGCACCAATGTTGTGGGTGCAGGAGAGAAGCTGCATACCACACAATGTGAGACCCTAAGGCAGCAGGCACTGGGACAATCCCCACTCACCTTCCCTGAATTCTGAGAAGGCTTCTGACCACTGACCCAAACCACAAGCTGGTTCCAGACTTGAGCCAGGGTCCTGCTACAGGAGGAATCAGGAGTGTCCGGCTTAACATGCGCAGCCCGACCATGCGCTGGTCTGTGCCTCCTATGACTGCCTCTTCAAAGGGAAAGGGCTGCTGGGCCTCACCTCCCGTCAGTGTAGAGTGAGAGCACAGCAGCAGCTCAGCAGAAGCTCTAGCTCTGAAAAGCCTTCCTATGCCCCTCATTCCACTTTCCAACTTCTCTCTCCTAAAAAAGGAAGCTTGTAAGCAAGCTGTGTCCCTTGATGGTCACCTCTTCTGTGGGAATAAATCCTGTGACTTTACCTTCCACTTTGGAACCAATCTTTTCCACCAGCTGCCAGCTGGGGGCCCCTCCTCATGTGCTCTGTGCAGTGCTGTATAAAGACCCTGATTAGTAGGGGGCATGGCTGCTCTCCTGGCTGATCACTTGCCCACCCTACTCCAGATCCCTCAATTATCCAGAAGCAACTGACAAAAGAATCTTCATAGAAGTTACTCCTTTAGATTTGTTTTATGAAAGGAGGGAATTTTCAAATGTTTTCAAAAGAAAGTGACTACCAATTTTTTGACAGGGCAGGAATCACCTGGCATTCTCTCCTTTAGACCTAGAGAGGCAAGCCCAGTGATCTGTTACTGTGCAAGCCTTATTAGCCATGAGGAAAAAGGTAAGGACATTTTAATGCACACCTCCCAGTCAGGGAAGTGTGTATGTTCTGCCTTCGTCCTTGCTGCTGGACTGCACCTGAGCTCGGAGTGGGGTTTCTGAGAGTCTTGCGCTGCCCTGAACTGTTCTTCGAGTGTAAAAAAGGATGTAGGCCTGGGTTTTGCACACGTCCTCGACACTGCATACATCCAGCTTTGAGTCATTGCAGTGGACCCAAAAACCTAGGAAACCAAAGGAGAGAAAGAAAATGACAAGCTAGGTTATATCTCTAGACAGGTGCTGCCCGGAGATGGGGAGAGACGCAGGGGACAGAGCCACCTTCTGATTACTGGTAGGGAGGCAGGGTCACTGTAATTCCTTTCACCCCACATATCACCGAAAAGACTCTTTTGCCTACGGTACTGACAGACCAATTTTGTCCTTGTTTCCTTTATGTCTTTTTATTGTTTGCTAAAGCCTCCACAGTGCCCCAACTGTCCTCAGAGTCATTTGAGTGAGACTAGAGATTTGTAACATCACCATGAAATTACAAAGGCCCCATTCTTTTTGCATGACCAAGAAGGAAGCTGAGGTCTGTAGAAATTCCATCAGTAATCAATACTACTGATGATACTGTGCTAACCTCCAGCACTAGATCTAAGTACTTAGATATGGTTAGTTCTGTTCATTCCTAAGCATAACCTTACATCCTTACCAAACCCCCAACTTTCATAATGCTTCTCACTGAATCTTAATGTATCTAATTTGTCCCTAGATGACCCAGGGGGATGGAAATAATGAAAAGCAATACACTGTGAACAAACCAACCCTTTTCCATGTCCCCGACCCTGCAGAGTAAAGCGCACGCACCTCCCTCTGTGTTGTAGCAATAGGCTGTGTAGTGTCCTGAGCCAAACCCTTTCCCGTGATGCATGACCACTGCGGAGAGATCATAGGCAAAGGTCTCTTTGTCAAGAGAGGAGAGCATGTCCCTGCAGCAGTAAGGTTCCATGGTTAATACCTGGTCAAAGACGACATGGACCCCAATCTTCTCACGATGATTACGGCCAGACCACCTAGAACATGGAAAGGAATCTCTCACTCATTAAGCTAACTAAACAAGAAGCTAAGAAAATAACTTTTGTTTCTCCTTTTTGTCCCCCGCTAATCCGTGTGTATATTTGCTGTGAAAGTTTCATGGAGTATTTGAATCTACAAACCCCTAAAGAACAGTTCAGAGCTGGGCAGTGGTGGTACACGCCTTTAATTCCAACACTTGGGAGGCAGAGGTAGGAGGATCTCTGTGACTTTGAGGCCAGCCTGGTCTACAGAGTGAGTTCTAGGACAGGCTCCAAAGCTACAGAGAAACCCTGTTTTGAAAAAACCTAAGAAAGAAACAGTTCACTATGGCCTCTGCATAGTCTGTTGCTTGCCCCTTTCACTATTATTTTATACTGAATCCTTGGGATGAATTTGTCTAAGTCCAAACAAGGCTAGGAGAGGATTGGCAGACATTGGATGCAAGCTAGAAATGGAACAAGGCAAAAGGGCTGAACCCCAGGCTGCTGGCTCCAACATCAACTTTTCTTACTGAACGAGAACCACTGACTCTCCATAGCAAGTGCAAGGCGCCACAGGGACAGGCTTCTCCTTCCCATACAAAAAACAAAATAAAAAAAAATAAAAGAAGACATCTGTCCTCCCCAAGCCCTCAAGGCAGCTCATCCCAAAGCTCACCTGAATCTTTTAAGGTGCAGCCGGAGGACCTGAGGTAGTCTGTAGATCATTAACTGCTTTCTGGCTTCACTCAGAACAAGGGGTTTGGGGTTAGATTTTCGTCGTTTGCCTGTATGGTTTGAAAAGGTGTAAGACACAGGCAGTGAGGAGCACAACCACAGTTACTGGCCACACAACAGACATTCTCCTTAGATTTATTATGGTAGTAATGTGACACACCCCAAGTATGTCTGCATTTCCCAGCTTCACAGGCCTAAATACAGTGGCCCTGAAGTTGTGGCTAAGATGAAAAGGGTGATGGGACCCTGAGTTAACTTTGAGGATGGGAGCTTTAAACCCCCGATAGTGAAACAGTAGGAGCCTGCATTCCTTGATGTCTGTGCAGCCACATGTTAGCCTTGGGATGTCCTCCAGACTTCTTTTATATGACAGTGACTGTTATTGGGCTGTTAAAAGCAGCCGAACCTGATCCTGATACATCTGCTTTTAAATTTTTGCCACCAGCAGCTTCCAGAGGTGATATGGGTGCTGGGTATATTCTAGGTGTCATCATGACTTTCTGATGGAATACAATAGATGGCTGCTACCACAGAGAACCATTTCACTGTGAGTTGAATACACCAGGGTTCTATGCTTTTACATCCTTATCACTTAAATTATCATGCACTTTATGTTTAAAGGGCTTTTTCTTTTCACCAGACAGGCCTAGCTGAACTTCCTCCTTATAACTACCTATAGGCCAAACTCTGAGCCTCAGCTCCCTCATGAGGAGATATATTTTTGTTTTGAATGTAACATATATTTAACGCTTAAAAAAAGATGATAAATTATGATTACTAAAGGACAGAATACGAAAGCAGTTTCTTTTTCCAACATGTTTTGTTTATGTTATACATAAACTTTAAAAAAATAAAACTTTGGTAGTTGTGATGGCTAATTTTAGTTGTCACCTTGATACACCTGGGAAGAGGGATCCTAATTAAAGAACTGGTTACATCAGAATGGCTGTGAGCATGTATGTGTGGGATTTCCTTGATTGTTGATGGATATAGGAGAGTATAGCCCACTGTGGGTGCACTACCAATGGGCAGCTGGGCCTAGGTGGCATAAGAAAGGTAGCTGATTGGAGCTTGGAAGCAAGCCAGGAAGTAGCTTTCCCCCAAGATTTCTGCTTCAAGTTCTTACCTTGAATTCCTTCCCTGACTTCCCTTGATGATGAGCTGCATATAACATATAGGCTAAAATAAACCCTTTCCTCCCCAAGTTGCTTTTGGTCATGGTGTTTATCACAGCAACAGAAAGCAAAGTAGGGCAGTAGTTCTGTGTTTTTATGCCACAGGATTTAAAATGTATTTCTTTTTCTTCCTCTCTCACACCCCATACCCTCTTAGCCTTCCTGTTCTAGCAACATACTCTATAAATCAGGCTGGCCTCAAACTCAAAGATCTACCTGAATGCTGGGGTTAAAGGCATATGCCACCACTGCCTGGCTGAAATGTGTTTCTTTTTTCTTTTCTTTTTTTAGAGTTATTTATTATATATACAGTGTTCTACGTGCATGTATGCCTGCATGCCAAGAGAGGGCATATAGATCTCATTATAGATGGTTGTGAGCCACCATGTGGGTGCTGGAATTTGAACTCCAGACCGCTGGAAGAGTAGCCAGTGCTCTTAACCTCTAAACTATTTCTCCAGCCCCTGAAGTATGTTTCTTATAGACAAGGTGGGAAGGTAGCCAGGTTCATCTGGTCCAGTGGTTCCCAACCTCTGGGTGATGACCCTACAGGGGTCGCCAAAGACCATAGAGGAAAAAAAGATGTTTACATTACAATATCAAAATTACAGTTATGAGGTACAAATTAAAATAATTTTATTGGTGGGGTCACCACAACATGAGGAACTGTATTAAAAGGTTGCAGTGTTATGAAGGCTTAGAACCACTGGTCTAAACCAAAAGAACAAATGCTGACCCTAATTTTGTTTCTTAACTATAGACTTGTGAGTGAAATGGAGCCCTAAATCCTTAGAAAATAGAAAATGGGAATAAAACCTTCTTAGTTTCAGCTGGAGACCTCTGTAAGCATTTTACTGATCTTACTGATGCCTTAGAGGTGGTCCAGCTGCTTGTCTCTAAGCTGTTGCTCTCAGGGCTCAGAGTAGAAAGCATGGCATCTGATTTCAAGTCCTGTTTGTAGCACTTGTGAAAACAGCTCTCTGTGACAAGGCATGAAGGGAGGGCTAGCTGCTCAGGGCAGACTGCATCACAGTGCATGTGTTGCTACAGAACTTTGACCAGCCATGCAGTCATGACATGTGGAATATGCAAAGGAGCACCCTGAGAAGGGCTCTCCCCGACTTTTCCACTCCTGCTCATCAGCCTCTGAGAAGGACTGGCTGGCAGTGACCACAGTCCACGCAGAGGGAGTGCATGAGCTAAGATGAAAACAATGTGGACTGTCTGTTTCCATAAATGAAAGTTCACAAAGAAAAGAAATTGCTGACTCAGTTGAGATGGACCAGTTTAGTTAAGGTAAGACACAGAGAGGAAGAAGAGCGACGACAATCCTTAAGCTTCACAAGCACCACGCCAATGCAGGTTACGCCTGCTGTGCCTTTCTTCTGCATTAGCAGGGGCACAGAGCATACGGAAATCCTGACTAATCCAGAAAAAAAAAATTACTTTCTGAAAAAAACTGAGTATTTCCTGCCTAATATGTCACATCCAAAAATGATACAAAGTTGTTAATGCCCCTCTGTTCCTTACAGGTAAAAAAGCTCTGGCCAGGTGTGGTAGTGCATGCCTTTAATCCCAGGGCTCAAGAGGTAGGCAGATACCTGAGTTTGAGGCCAGCCTAGTCTACATAGTGAGTTCCAGGGCAGCCAGGGCTATACAACAGAGAAACCCAGTATTAAACAAACAAAAAAACAAAGCAAAAACACAGAAAATGACACCCCCCCCAAAAAAACCCAGCATATACTCCAAACTATTAATATACAGTAATAAACTGATACCTAGGTCATTGTGTGAGAGCCAAAGTTACAATTTAAATTTTAATTACTATGTCTAACAGATTCACGAAATAAAAACGCCTCTGGTCTGCAAGCCCCTTGTCCAAGGACAGACAGTTCCTTAAACGCTGGAGGCTGTTGTTTATGGGAGGCAACAAGCCACTTGTTCTTCACTCCCCTTGTTTGACCCATCTGCATTGGATGTGCTTGATAACATGGGGGGCAGGGGTTCGCGGGCAGAAAATATGTCAGTATATATGCTTGCCCCTGATTGAACCTGATGGGAAATGCCATGAATTATGGGTTTTCCTCCTTAAGCCACTGCAAACTGTTATTCTGGGCCGTTTCCCAGGAATCTGGGTATGGATCTGGCCAGAGCCCACCCACCTGGTCATTACTTAATTAAAAATTACTTCAAATGTGGTTTTAAACTGTGGTAGTGGTCTTATTCTCAATTGGTGGGATTAACAATTGTGAAAAATACATAACTTTGTATTTTTCATTTCTAAATCTTTATAGGTCATAAAACCCAGACACCAGGGTTGGAGACATTGCTCAGCATTCAAAGTACTGGCTGCTTCTGCAAGACAACCCAGGTCTGGTTCCCAAGGCCCACATGGCAGCTCCAGGTCAGTTCTAGCAGATTTGAAGCCCTCTTCTGACTTCAAATGGTCACATGGTGCACAGGCATACATAAATGGAAATACACGCATAAAAACAAACCAATCTTTAAATACCATCACCAGACACAAGCATCCATATATTTGCTGTGCACATCTATCTATGCATGCTGTGTTAGCAGAAGCACTAGGTGTTAATATAATGACAGAGAAGGGCCTGCACATGTCCATGTAACCACACAGAAAGAGATCCAATTTAAATTAAACCAACGACACAGACACTTCTTTGTGACTTTCTCTGAAATATAAACTTTGCAAGCATGTGAGAAAAAAAGCAGAAAACATCCATGTGGCTGCCATTATCAAGTGCCATAAGATATGCTGCATTGGTTATATGGTACCACTATCTTAAAAATCGCATTCATTCATTCATTCATTCATTCATTCATTCATTCATGGTGTATGTCTGTGCAGGTCACACGATAACCTGTGCGAGTCTGTTCTCTTTGTCAACCATGTAGGGTTGTGCCTTTACCTGCTGAGCCATCTTGCTTTTGTCTGTGTATGTATATGTATGTGTATGGAGATGTTTGTGCCATGTGCCTGTGGAGGCCAGCAAAATCCTGTGGGTGTCATTCTTCAGGAGCCATCCATGTTGCTTTTGTTATTATTTAAGACAAGGGTGCTCACTGGCATGGAACTTGCTAAGAGTCTAGCCTGGTGGCCAGTGAGCGTCAGGGATATACATGTACCTCCCTGTTCAGTGTGGGGTTTAAAGCACACACCACCATACTTGACTCTTTTTACCTATGTTATAGGCTCCACCTCAATTCCCTCTTGCTTGTAAAGAAAACCCTTTATAATTGAGAAGTCTCCTCACCCCATTATACCATTTTTTTAACATGAAGTTTAACAGACTTTAAATCTACAGACTCAGTACAAAAACATACTTTCTTATCCTATAGCACTCAAGTGGGGTATGCCACCTGAATTCAGGCTAAATAAGAACTATTAGACTATGTGTGTGAACCTGGGACCCCGCAGTATTATGAAGCTAAGTACTATTGCTCTCACAGCCCCTCTTTCAGAAACCACATTCATACACTTGCCAAACAACTAAGGTCAGTCAGAAGGGTCAAAGGAGGCACAATTCTTAGGCCATTGTTTTCAGTGTTAAAGTGTGTGTACGTAGGTGTGTGTGCTATGGCAGTCCGTTCTCTCTAGCTACCTCTCTGTGGGTTCAAAGGACTGAACTTCAGGTCACCAGACTTGTGTAAAAGAACCTTTACTCACTGGGCCATCTCCCTGGCCCAGGTCTGTTTCTAATATGTAAAGTCCATATTAGTTTTTTATAGAGACTGAGAAAAATATCTTTAAAAGATGGTTTAGACCCACTTAGTGTCTCCATGTTTCTTTTGACTAAAGGGTCAAAAGCAGCTCCTTAAATTGTATTCCAGTTGCAATCCCCGCCCCTCTCCATGCAGCACTCACTGTTACACTGGTCACAAGCGTAGATTCTCCCCTCCAGGGCCTCTGTCTCGGTAAACTTGGCCAGCATCTCAGTGAGCAGGCACTCTGTCTGATTCAAAGGGACAAACCCCTTTTCTATGCAGTGGTAGCGTTCAGGGAATTCCAGGGACAGATCCCAAAAGGGCTCAATGGTATTGGATTTATAATTGCATGATACACATGTAACCTAGAATGACAAGATTGGTTTGCAGATTATATAGTTTCTGTGCTTCCCACATACAATTTTGCTTGTTGTAAAGAAGACATAAAATCAACCACTTCTCCCAAAAAAGTTAATAAGAACTTAAATAACTGTACTAAAAGCACTGGAACATATTATGCATGGCTGCATTTCTAACCATGCTGTAATTAACTAACTAGCTGTAACTAAGGAGCCACAAGGCACCACCCTGCTTTTCCCCTTCTCTCCCAATGAATGCTGCCTCAGTAGAGATAGCAAGTTACCTCGGAGGCATTCGCTGGGCTAAGAGAGTTGGCAGGTCACTGTCTGCTTTGTTCACCCACAAATTTCTTTCATTTGGTCCTTCCAGGTAGCAAATTTACCTCTTTTACCTTCCTTCCTTCCCTTTCTTCCATTCTCCTCCCATTCTTATTTTCCTTTGACATAAAATCTCCCTGTGTATTCCTACTGGCTTAGAACTCATTACATAGCCCAGCTGGCCTTGAATTCTCAGCCTCTCAAGTGCTGTGGTAACACACATCACCAGCACACCTGGTTTACCCATTTCCTACAACGTCCCGTCTGCTGCACCGCAGAATGCTGTGGTTAGACTTGCTCTTATACCATAATATTCCCAGATGCCATTTCACATGCAGAAAGGAGGGAAAAAGCCCTCAGTTTCCCTTCCTAGCCTACTCATCATACTTCCCAAAATCGTAATAAGTGAGGCATAAAACCTCTGTAACTCAGTGGAGAGGATTTACCCAATTCTCTTTACATTGTCCACCCTTTATTTTAAAAAATCTATAATAATTCTTTTTGTGCATATTTTTATTAGGCCTGGGAATCTTTGCTTAGGTCTTGACATGGTCTTGATCCTGAAAATGAAAGATAATAAGGACATGGAGTCTATAATCCAGCGCTGAGAGATGGAATCAGGAGGACCAGAAGTTTAATAACCTCAGCTGCATAGTTAAAACACACTGAACCACTCGGGACCATATATTTGGGATGGTTATGGGCAGCAGGAAGGAGGTTTACTTGGCCTTTGGTATAGTTCCAATTACTACTTATAAATAAAAGGAAAGGCTCTTTCAAACGACTTTGGAAACAGTTTTCTACACAAACTGTTCAGTTTTATAAACTGAACCAAAGATCTAGACAGACAGAACTTCAAATTCACCATCATCACCAGCGTACAGTGTCAAGTACAAACAACCAAGCCCAACTACCACCCAAACTTCCCACCTTGCTTCAGGTAGGTACACACCTACCTGACTGAGCAGCTGCCCGTGAAATATGGTGTTCACCACCTTTAAGACCTGTTTGGTGAGCTTCCTCTGGGAGAAGGGGATGAGGATCCGGCGTGTGGAGCCCTCAGACTCAAGTTCCTGCTGCACCTTGTGCAGCAGTTCACAGAGAAATTCCTGTGCGTCCTGCTGGTCGTAGCCACGGAAGGCGGGAATGAGGCTCCACACTGAGTGAAGCATGGCAAAGGGCGATACCAGTGCCCACTTCCCAGACCACATGACTCGGAAGAGGGTGTGCAGTTCGTGGCAGAGGGAAATGTGCTTTGAGCTGGGTTCCTTGTTCTGAATGAGCTCCAGGCTCCTGCTGATAGAGGCTCCGCTGTTCCAGCAGAAGCCTTGAGGTTCGTATCCCTGGGCAGGGTCGCTCTTTACTGATAACTCTGCGGCAGAGCTGCTGGCTGGCCTACCACTACCAGAGAGCTGAGCCTTCCCATTGGTTGCTTGGGGAAACAGGTGCTCAGAGGTGGAAGGGTCGAGGTTCAGGAAGCACTCCCGGAACTTCTGGAGGTGGCTAAGCACCTGGAGGATGGAGTTCATGTAGCAGGTGTTGCCCAGGTTGCGTAGGCCGGTGACACCTGGGGCCACCGCCGGCTGACGACGCGGCTTAAGTGTAGCCGCGGGCACGCGCCGGGAGGTAGCGAGGGTAGTAGGGCGCACGGCCACAGGTCCGGGCGCGTGCAGGAGCAGGCGCGCACTCTTTCGCGGCGGCGCGCTGGCCAGCTCCTCCAGCAGTCGCCGCTTGACCTCGCGCCTACGCCGCCGGGCCTCCTCTTTCTTGCGCTCCAGCGCCTCCTCCTGCCGCTGCTGCTCCAGCTGCGCTCGGCCCCTGGAGCTCTTCTCGAACCACAGTCGCAGCGTCTTGGCCAGCAAGCGCTGGCGCCTGTACCACAGAGCCGTGAGCATCTGTGGCTGTCCCTGAGGAGTGCGCTGCGGTGGGACCATGTCCTCGCCAGCAGCTGTAGACCGTAGCATCCGCCCACGCCTCGCGGGCTGGTCCTGCTTTTGGCCTTGCACCGCCAGGAGGGAGCTTCTCAGCAGCTTCAGGTCCCCCTCGGGGTTGTCATTGAGCACGTAATCCTTGCACAGGTAGCAGAACACGTAGAGATCCCGGACCTCCATGGCCAGCGGGTGTCCGGTCTCTTCAAAGTGTTTCAGTGCATGGTCTTCAATGTAGCGGCCGCAGGCCACGTGGGAACACTTGAGGCAGGCCCACGCAGACTCCGTGGTGGAGCACTCCAGACAGCACCACTTCTGAGGGTTCAGGATGGAGTGGTCCTGGGCGAGCCGTAACCGCCCTACATGTTTGCATCTATCCATGTTTTAGCGCAGTCGCCACTCTCTTAATCTGCCACCGTGAAGCCCCCCAAAAGGAAAAAAAAAAAGCAGAATTTCAGCAAAATATTTTTCTAGAAAAAAGGGGGTTGTAATCGGCATTTCTGTGCAAGACTTATTTTTAAATTCAAAATTTGTTCTTCTGAAAACAGAAACTGGTATTTCAAGTACCACCAGGAGAGAGACAAAAGTCTCCAAACCAACCCGACAACCCTAGGTCAATTTCAGTGTATTTCAAGGCAAAGGTGCAGAATCAGGGAAAGATAAGAAAAAGAGAGTCAAATGACAACTAATGAGGCAGAGCCTGAGCTTCAATTTAAATAATATTTTAGAAGCTAGCCTTTCTGAAGAGGCTACATTTTGTAGAAAGAATCGCAAAACTCACTGTCTTTACCGAAAAGTAAGTACACAAATAAATCTGATAGGACAAGAGGTGGTGTGGCTATTGGGATGGCAGTTTTCAAGCTAACCACCCAGACAAAAGAAACAAGAAAACAGAGGCAAGCTTGCTTCCCTTTTGTTTTGATACCGACTTAATTTGTAGCCCAGGTTGGCTCAAATTGGTAGCAATCCTCCTGCCTGTGTTTTGAGACAGGGTCTCACTATGTTGCCCTGGCTGGCCTGGAACTCATATGGGGCCCAGGCTGGCGTTGAACTCACAGAGATCTACCTTCTCTGTGCCCCTACTTCTGGGATCTCAGGTGTGCACCACCATGTCTGGCTTTTTAATATTCTTCAAAAGGGAAATATAGTAGGCAATTTATCCAAGGAGATTAAGATGAACAACTATTTTTAAAATGTTTTATTCTTTGGAAACCTTAAATTTTCCCAGCATTAAAAACATCCTAAAGGGGGGCTGTAGAGATGGCTCAGTGGTTAAGAGCACTGACTGATCTTCCAGAGGTCCTGAGTTCAATTCAATGAGTTCAATGGCTTACACTATCTGTAATGAGATCTGGTGCCCTCTTCTGGCATGCAGGCATATATGCAGGCAGAATGTTGGATACATAATAAATATGTAAATAAAAAAAATCCTAAAGGTGCTGGGTGGTGGCGCACACCTTTAGTCCCAGCACTCAGGAAGCAGAGGCAGGTGGATCTCTGTGCATTTGAGGTCTGCCTGGTCTACAAAGTGAGTTCCAGGACAGCTAGGGCTACACAGAGAAACCCTGTCTTGAAAAAACAAAGTCCTAAAGGTTGTTCTCTAAATTCTTTTTTTTTAAAAAGATTTATTTATTTATTATGTATACAACATTCTTCCTCCATGTATGCCTGCAGGCCAGAAGAAGGCACCAGATCTCATTACAGATGGTTGTAAGCCACCATGTGGTTTCTGGGAATTGAACTCAGGACCTCTGGAAGAGCAGCCAGTGCTCTTAACCTCTGAGCCATCTCTCCAGCCCTGTTCTCTAAATTCTTAAAAGTTATTTATTCATGAGACAGGGTCTCAATATTATGTGGCTCTGTATGTCCAGAAACTCACTATGTAGACCAGGCAGGCTGTCCTCGAACTCACAGATCCATCTGTCTCTGCCTCCCAGTGCTGGGATTACAGGCGTGTACCACCACTGCCTGGTTAAAAGATTTTGTTTTTTGCTTTGTTTGTTTCTGTTTTTATGTTGTTTTTTATTTTTTAATGTTGTCTGATTTATTAAGTACTGATCAGTGGGAAAAATGAAACACTCCAAAACAAACAAACAAATAAAGAAAGAAAGAAAAACCCTCAAATTAAAAAAGGAAAGCCATCTATACTATCCTAATCAAGATAATCATTTCTCCTTGAGTACTAGCTTCTACTGTATTATTTTCTAATCATTATTCATTCTTATTCTCATCATTCCCTACTGATTTATAGCTATGCACCCATTAAGTAACTTCTCTAGATGTGTTTGTTTATTTTGGTGAGACATAATCTCTAGGGAAGAGTTCATGTGTTACAAGGCAAAGACCTGAGTGTTCAACTATAGCTTAAATAGTATTATCAGAATGACTTTCTCCAGGACTGGGGATATAGTTCTGACAGAGAACATGGTTAATCCTCAACACTAGTAGGGGAAGGAATTATTCTCCCAGTTTGAAACAGTCCTGAAATAAGCATTTCTGGGGCACAGACAAATTACAACACACATAACTGAAAATTGAAGAGATGAAAGGTAGATGCTACTCAACACATGACAGTGCAAGCTGGATACTGCCTATGATGTTCTCAAATCAACTACTGGAACACAGAATCAGCCAGGAGTTGGCATGTTTCTGTTTCTCAGACTAGTTTCTGAGCTCCAGCAGCATCAGATCTCCTTGGGCTCCCTCCCACCCACTTACCACGTCATACCTGATGAGTCAGAATCTGCAGATGGTCAAAAAATCCATTTTAGACAAACTCCAGAGATAAGTCTCTCACACATAAACATTGCATTAACCCAACAAATTAGGGATGAAGAACTCAGAAACCAGAAAAGAATTCTATTTTCCAAAGCCCTTTTCACTTGCCCAAAGGCAGGATCTCGTTTTCCTGGCACTTATGACATGGAGCAAACTGGTCTCAGACCCAGAGATTGGCATGCCTCTGTCTCCTGAATGCTGGGATTAAAGGTGTGCTCCACTGTACTTGGCTATTTTCTAAATTCTTCCACTCTTTAGGCAGACCAACACTGCCTAAAATAATAAAATATTCTCTCTCTTGCTTTCCAATACTGTAGTAACTAGTCACATGTGATTACCAAGCTTTTGAAATGTGCCTAATGGGATTAAAGGACTGAACTTTTTTTTGAGGGGGGGGCGGGGTTGAAACATAGCCTTGACATAGCCTTGGCTGGCCTTGAACTCGGCTCTGTAGACCAGGCTGGCCTTGAACTCACAGAGATCTGCCTGCCTCTGTCTCCTATGCTGGGATGAAAGATGTGTGCCATCACTGCCTGCCTGGCAGGACTCAACTTTTAACTTCATTAATTTTAATTAAGATAATCAGGAGAAGCTGAGCATGGTGGCTCATGCCTTTAATCCCAGAACTTGGGAGGCAGAGGCAGGTGGATCTCTGTGAGTTCAAAGCTAGCTTGGTCTACAGACCAAGTCCCAGCCAGGCCAGTCAGGGCTACACAGGGAGACCCTGTTGTAATAACAAACAAACAAACAAACAAACACAACACAATATAGTCTTATCTGGCTAGTGACTACAGTCTATGATAACATAGGTTTAAACACACCAGGCCCAGCCGAGTGGAGGCTTTCAGATTTATATCTTAATGACCTCTTCTTAGGAGATTCTGATGCTCAGAAAATGCTCATTTTGCCCTGGTGTATCTTCAGAAGTTAACTGTCACCAAATCTGATACTGTGAAATACAGCACCAGAAGACTAATGTCTTCTAAAGTCAGCTCCTGGGCTAACATGAAATAGAGAAACAACACAGACCACAACCAAACAGCCCACACTGACTCTGTGCAGATCTGTAAACTGCTGATCAAGCACATCCTTTCCTGCTCAGCTCACTAAGCCTGCCGCACGGCAGAGTACACCATTCAGGAAAACACTAGGCCACTTTGCACCACACCAATCACCCCTGCTAGGCAGACTAGCTTCTCAATGGACAGCACATCTGATCTCAAAATGGGAATCTCACAAAGTAATGTGAAATAAAAACAACTACCTTATCCAATATAAGACAGAGTAGAAGGAACACAACCTCTAATAGGTGTGACTCTCTCTCCCACATGCGTTCTGACTTTATTTCAGAACAGGCCCAACCCCCACTCACAGAAAATTCTACTTTGTATTTTTCTGACATGGACATTCTTTTCTCCATATTCTCAAAGACCACAATAATTCTAAATTTTCACTTGACACATACATCAGCAGTGTAACAGGTACTGAATACTCTAAATAAATGAACCTAAGTGTGACTGGCAAAGAACAGACTGTCTCTCAGCAGCTCCGCACTGCTGAGTAGACCAGCCACTTTATTTACAAATGCCCTGCACACCCTGGATTCAGGTGTATATGTGAAAGTAAATCCAACAAATATTAGCATTTGATTTTTTAATCATCATAGTTTATTTACTCTTTTATTTTTTTTGAAGCAGGGTCTCACACCCAGTTCAGGCTGTCCTTGCACTCTTCCTGCCTCTGCCTGTCAAGTGCTGGGATGCCCTGGCTAGGGTTAATATGAAAAGAAGGGTTTATGTAACTGAATGTGTAAAAGGGGGTGAGGGCGCGAGTCAATCCCAAACTAACTTCAAAAGATTCCAGTTATTATTCTTTATTGGAAGGGGAAAACTCACAGAATAGGAGTGAGAAGTCCAACTTCAAGGTGTGTTACGTGGGAACAGAGAGCAAGAGCTGGGCAGGTCAGCAGTTTTCTCTGGGTACCCAAAAGGTCACACCCCAACCTGGTCCAGCCTCTTCAAGGTCATTGGCTGAAGGAGGTTCCCCATCAGGTTTACTTCACTTATACTTCTGGGTAACAGTTCATCAATGAGGGAAGTCAGGGCAGGAACTCAAACAGGGCAGGAGCTGATGCAGAGGCCATGGAGGGGTGCTGCTTATTGGCTTACTCCACATGGTTTGCTCTGCTTTCTTATAGAACCAGGTCCATCTATCTGTCCAGGGATGGTACCACTCAGAATGGACTGGGCCCTCCCCATCAGTCACTAATTAAGAAAATTCACTACAGGCTTGCCTACAGCCTGATCTTATGGAAGCATTTCTCCAACTGAGGCAGTTTCTTCTCTGATGACTCTAGCTTGTGTCAAGTTGACGTAAAAATAACCAGGACATGGGATTACAGGCATAAACCACAATTCAAGCATCATATTACACTTGTAGGTGTGGCTGAGTGCTCTGCTTAGCAGTCATGATGCTCTAGATTCAGTATCCCCAGTAACTATGGAGGAGAGGAAGAGAGGAGGAAGCCAAAAGCTGAATCAGCTGGGTATAAAACCAGAATCAAGCTTTAAATGATCCCATAATTAACTATCCCTAAGTGTCAAATGAAATGTTAGAGAAATCGAACCATAG